TATATATATATATATATATATATATATATATATATATATATATAATAAAATTAAAATTCGATCAAGACAATCATAAGTCACAAACAATGCTTAAAAGGGAATTTTGACAATGAAAACGAGGCATGCGTAAATAAGTAGCTAACTCACGTGTTGTAACTCGAAATCTCCGAGAGTTGGGTGGTGAAATATTGTGGTATTTATAGGTGGATTCATACGTATATTCTTTTCCTTCTCCACAACGTCTAGCAATTCCTGGCTGTAAAACAAGCGAAGCATAACAAATAAAATAAAATAAATAAATAAATAATTTTTTTAAAAAAGAAAAAAAAAACGATGATGTGCGAAAGAAATCGATATACCTGGTGGAGTCCTTGAAGCTGATAAGCTGCCAACACATTGGACACTGCGAGCTTCTCTGGCACCTGAGGAATTGTTTTATTTTTTTTTAACAAAATAATCAAGAAAAACGGAATAATACGAGTACAAATAATTTACTTTTGTAAATACATTTTTGCCAGAAAAAAATAAAAAAATTATGTCGTTTTATACCATTCGAGGATGCACTGAAGATGAAATTCGTGCTTGCAACTAGTCACCTGCAATTGGCAACTTTTAATGAAATGATAATATTATTAAGGTCAATTTTAAATCGACAATAATCGGAAATAATAACCGTTTATACGTACTGTGGAAGGATCGTTATTGGAAAAAGATTCCAAGCATATACTGCAAGCATCTTCACATGGTTCTTGAACTCCTCCTTCTACAAAAGCTGCTGCTGAATTCAAACTCTTATCGAGCACGTTTCCCTCTTCCATCTGTCACACAAACATACATATATAAATTCTGAATCCCGACATTGTTCAGCTGAAAACAAACAAACGAAGGGGATGGATTCAAACAAATCAAAGTGGCGATAAATAAGACGAGAGACAAAAGACATTTTTTACTTATCGGACGAATAAATCTAGTAACAAGATTTCTTCTTAGAAAATCATGCTTAATTTTGAAACATCGTAACAGATTGGAGCAATGTATCTGTTCACCGAAACCAAAAACCGAAGCATCTATCTACTTTAAAATCTTCGACAAAACCAGGTCCCAAATAAAATTCTCTTATCTATTTCAGGAACATTCAATAGGGAATTCGACATCGAAATATATATATATATAAGCTATCAAAGATTAGTGCATAATTATTTATACAACGAAAAACGGAACCTTTAGCATCAACTAATTAACTCGACCACCACAAATATACCGTAAACGAAATTCGACAAAATCTTAAAGAGACAAATAACAAAATAAATGCAAACAAAAAAAAAACAAAAAAAAAAACCAGTGGCAAATTAGCAAGAGAAATTCCCATTGGAGAAAGTATGAAATTTCAGAGCAAGGTTACAGAAAACATGAACTTATACAGAATTTGTAAGAAGGGGAAGAACAATTGTAGCTATAACCCCACCAAAATTACATGGTTAGAAAACTAAAAACAAGAATTAATTATACCTCAGAGAAAATTCTAAAGAAAAGAGGACTTCTTTTCTGGGATTATAAATCCAAGCTCACAACGACTGAAGAAACGGTTTTTTATATAGGAGAGAGAGAGAGAGAGAGAGAGAGAGAGAGAGAGAGAGAGAGAGTGTAAAATTTTGAGGAGGAAGAAGAAGATGAAGAAGAATGAGAAGCAGAGGCAAAGTCTAGTGAGAGAGAGAGATGGAATTATTTTTCTTGTTTTATTAACTTTAATGGAGGTGAGGAGAGTGAGGGCCACGCACAAAGAAAACACAGACGCGCGCGCACTGATACAGAGACACGGCTTTGGAGGACGAAAGAAGCAAATGCTGCTTTCTTTTTCTTGGTCTTCCCCCACTCTAACTACACCATCGGTGACACGTGGCTCATCCACACACCATTTCAGATTCAAAAGAAAGAAAAACTAAATAAACCTATGCGCACTTGTCAGAAAAGATATTTACTAAAGATGGCGTCTCATTGATTTATTTATTCAACTTATTTTACATTGATCTTTTTAATGTAGATTTCCTTTTTTCTTTTTCTTTTTCTAATTTCTTGACAATTCAAAAATTAGTGAAGCAATTTTAGATGAAATATTTATCGACTTTTTCTAGATAAACATCTTATATACTATAGATTTGAGTGCTAAACAATATTAAAAATGATTTCAACATTATAATAATTTTTAGGAAAAAAACGTGTGCTATAGTATATGATTTTTTGCGATTTTTCTTGAATATTCAAAAATTAGTGCAGCAATGTTAGATGAAATAGTTTTTGATTTTTTATTGATAAACTCATAAACATCTTAATTACTATATATTAGAGTGCAAAATAATACTAAAAATTATTTCAACATTTGAGTCACTTTTAGGAAAAAAACATGTGCTATAGTATACGATTTTTTTGTTATTTTTCTTGACTATTCAAAAATTAGAACAATATTAAAAATGATTTCAACATTTTAATGATTTTTAGAAAAAAACGTGTGCTATAGCGCCATAGTTGGTGTCATTTCTCTCTGCGACTCGCACTCGAAGAACCACGGGACACTCCATACGGAGCAAGCAAGTCTTAGGAATGAGACGCCCGCGCAAGGACCTCAATTCTCATTAGGAGGTCAAACCAAGGACTTAGTGTGTGTATATTTTTTAGTGTGTATATTCGGTGTAGTGTGTGTATTTTTCTTAGTGTGTGTTTTCCTTGTAGTGTGTGTATATTTATTAGTGTGTCTTTTCAGCAAGGTTGTAAAAAACGGTAATTGGGTCGAAGGCGATCAGGAACCGACTCACGATTAATCGGTATGGCGGTGATTAATTGGTGATAACTCGGATATAAATCGGTTTTTAAAATTTAATATAATATATTTGTAGGTATTTTTATAAATACTCAAACATAGATAAAACGATTTTTAAACATAGTTATATCTTCATCATGTATACATCCTAATAACATAATAAAAGTTTAATGATAATAAGATCATAATACATAAATATCCTTATAAAATATAAATAAAAAAGTATTTTTTTGAAATTGCATACATCATTGGTTCTTTAACAATAATAGTTAACATAAACAAAATAAAGCATAAACTCGTATTTTTTTTTATTAAAATCCCAACTTTTATTTATGACCGATTTTTGGCCGATTTTTGCCACCGAAGTTTGACCCGGCCTTAAAGGTTTGACCGCCTAAAACCGCCTCATTGGCAAAAAAACCAAATTTTCAAACATTTACACTAAAATCGTAAAGGTTTTGGACCGCCTCCGCCTCGGAGACCGATTAATCGGCCGCCTCGGCCGATTTTTAGAACACTGGTTTTCGGTGAAATGTGTATATATTTTTAGTGTGTGTTTTCGGTGTAGTGTGTAATTATTTTTAGTGTTTGTTTTCAGTGTAGTGTGTGTAGTTCTTTTAGTGTGTGTAATTTTTTTAGGTTGTGTTTTCGATGTAGTGTGTGTAAAACCTTTTTCACAATCAAAATCACAAAAACTGTATACTATAATAATCAAATTTTAGTTAAAATTGGTGCAACGTTGAAAAGCTATTTCACGATCTAAATCACCAAAAACAGTATACTATAGTATACAATTTTTTGATAAAATTGGAATCAGTTTTTGGTGAATTTGATCGTGAAAAAATTTTTTGGACGTTCCACAAATTTTACCAAAAATATGTGTGCTATAGTATACAATTATTGGTAATTTTGTTTGTGAAATAGTTTTTTGGACGTCCCACCAATTTTACCCAAAATCTGTGTACTAGTATACAATTTTTGGTGATTTTGATCGTAAATTTTTTTTGGCCGTTCCACCAATTTTACCCAAAATTTGTGTACTATAGCGTAAAGTTTTAGGTGATTTTGATCGTGAAATTGGTTTTTGGATGTTCCACAAATTTTATCCAAAATTTGTGTACTAGCATACAGTTTTTGGTGATTTTGATCGTGAAATAGTTTTTTGCACGTTCCACCAATTTTAACCTAAATCTGTGTACTATAGCATATAGTTTTTGGATCTTTTGATCGTGAAAATTTTTTTTGGCTGTACACAAATTTTATAAAAAGTAGTGTACTGTAGCATAAAGTTTATGGAGATTTTGATCGTGAAAAAGTTTTTGGGACGTTCTACAAATTTTACCGAAAATCTGTGTACTATAATATATAGTTTTTTGTGATTTTTATCGTGAAATAGTTTTTTGGACGTTCCACCAATTTTACCCAAAATCTGTGTACTATAGTATACAGTTTTTGGTGATATTGATCGTGAATTTTTTTTTAGACATTCAACCAATTTTACCTAAAATTTGTCTACTATAGCGTACATTTTTAGGTGATTTTGATCGTGGAAAAGTTTTTTGGACGTTCCACCAATTTTATCCAAAATTTGTGTACTATAGCATACAGTTTTTGGTGATTTTGATCGTGAAATAGTTTTTTGGACTTTCCAACAATTTTACCCTAAATCTGTGTACTATAGCGTACAATTTTTAGTGATTTTGATTGTGCAAAAGTTTTTGGGACGTCCACTAATTTTACCCAATTTTTTTTTATTATATCGTACAGTTTTTGATGATTTTGATCGTGAAATAGGTTTTTGGACGTTTGACCAATTTTGGTGATATTTCGAACGTGAAATAGTTTTTTGGACGTTCCACCAATTTTAACTAATATTTGTGTACTATCGTATACAGTTTTTTTGTGATTTTGATCGTGAAATAGTTTTTTGGATTGCACCAATTTTAACTAAAATTTGTGTACTATAGCATATAATTTGTGGTGATTTTGATCGTAAAAAAAGTTTTTTGGACGTTCCACCAATTTTACCCAAAATCTGTGCACTATATTATACAGTTTTTGGTGATTTTGATCGTGAAAAGTTTTTTCGACGTTCCACCAATTTTATCCAAAATCTGTTTACTATAGTATACAATTTTTGGTGATTTTGATCGTGAAAAAGTTTTTTAGACGTTCCACCAATTTTACCAAAAATAAGTGTACTAGCTAGCATATAGTTTTTGGTGATTTTGATCGTAAAATAGTTTTTGGGACGTTTCACCAATTTTACCCAAAATATGTGATCTATAGTATACATTTTTTGGTGATTTTTATCGTGAAAGAGTTTTTTGCACGTTCCACCATTTTAATCCAAAATCTGTGTAGTATAATATATAGTTTTTGGTAATTTTGATCGTGAAAAAGTTTTTTGGACGATCCACCAAATTTACCCAAAATATGTGTACTAGTAAACAATTTTGGTGATTTTGATCGTGAAAAGGTTTTTTGGGACGATCCACCAAGTTTATAAAAAAAACTTGTGAACTATAGCATACAGTTTTTGGTGATTTTGATCGTGAATTAAGTTCTTGGACGTTCTGCCAATTTTACCCAAAATATGTGTACCTTGTGATTTTGATCGTAAAATAGTTTTTTTGACGTTCCACCAATTTTAACTAAAATTTGTATACTCTATAGTATACAGTTTTTGGTGATTTTGATCGTGAAAAAGTTTTTTGGACGTTCCACCAATGTTACTTAAAATTTGTATACTATAGTTTTTGGCGATTTTGATCGTGGAATAGTTTTTTTGACGTTCCACCAATTTTACCCAAAATCTGTGTACTATAGTATAAATTTTTTGAGATTTTGATCTTGAAAAAGTTGTTACACACATTACACCGAAAACACGCACTATAAAACACACACACCGAAAAGACATACTAAACAGAAATTACACACTAAAAAATATACACACACTACATCGAAAACACACAATAAAAAAAATACACACACTACACCCAAAATAGTTGT